GAGATCGAGCACTGCTACTACCACGGCACGGTGCACGGCTACCCGGGCGCCGTGGCCGCAATGCGGACCTGCAACGGCATCTCGGGCGTCATTCAGATCGGCAACGAGACCTTCATCATCCACCCCTTCTTCGGCGGCGACATGTCGGTCAGTGCAGCCCCCTCCCGGCGACATGTCGGTCAGTACAGCCCCCTTTCGGCGACATGTCAAACTCTCGGTGACATTCCCGGCGACATGTCGGTCAGTGCAGCCCCCTCCCGGCGACATGTCGGTCAGTGGACAGTGACCCCCTCCCGGCGACATGAGGTTGGCTCATGAAAACCTGTCGCCCTGCTCCTGGCGACTTAAAGGGACAGTATCATCGAAAAAAAAATCAATGTATGGAGCTGATTTTTTTTTTACTAGCATTTCTTATTTTTCTGAATCAGAAAAACATAGTTTGAGGACCGAACTCGGTGAAAAATATTGCAACCACATTTCATTTTCATGATTCATTTTCATGAGCGAACCACCACTATACAAGCATGGCCGCCAGTTTGGAAGCATGCAAAATTACTACAGAACTGGCGCAGATAATACATTATTGACGCTACGCTTACGCGGTCGTTCTTCTGATTGAGTTGTCCTTAGGGAGAGGTAGCCTTAGGTATTGCCTATAAAAATATCACGTGACAATTGGAGGGAGTGACAATTGGACGTGACAATTGACAATGGGAGAAAATATCACGTGACAATCACGTGATAAACGTCATACATTGGAGGGAGATTGTGATTCAAGCTGGAGGAATTCCTTTGTTGAGCCGCTAGAATCCGAAGGAAACAGCGGAAATTGCCTACGACTATTTAATGAATTTAACGGTGATGAATAAGTGCGAAAAACGTTTTGGCTTTATAAAATTTGATGAAATGACCAGGGTAAAAGTTTTATTACTGGCGGTCAATTCAAAACGGCGCAAACATTTAAACAGTGAAGATAGTGAAGCACGATTCAAAGTGTAGTACACCTTTCGTACTTTGAGCGGCGATAGCGGGATAACGGTGTGGAGCTTCGAGGATCGGTCTTCAGTTCCCGGACCAGAAAGGTGGGGCCTATGCAATGTCAAATTTCATCAAAATGGTGATACTGTCCCTTTAAGAGATCATAGGGCCGTTACAAATTCAGCTGTCTCGAGATGCATTGAAATCAATCAACCACTCGAATCTATGCACATTGCAAAATGCACACATGCTTAGTGAATCGTCGGCTGTTGGTAGTCGGTAGTCGCTAACATGTAAAGTACCGCGAAAATATTTCCTGAGTTATCTGCCTTCGTTAAATAAGACGGGTGGCCGGGGCCGGCCGGGCTGAAGTGAGTCGACCTGCAGTGGTTTTGCCGGCCGGCCGCCGCCGTCGGCGGTGGACGCTCATGGTGCTTCCTTCAACAGTCGGATTGTTTGTTCGCGTGTCGGGAGGACAAACAGGCTGACGCCGGGCGCCAACAGAGGGGCTACATCTGCGCCGGAGCCGGCACACAGACGGCGCCGGCGCCGCCGCCGGCACAGCAGACCCGGCCGCAAACACGGCCACTCAGCCTGTATCACAGCGACTCTGCCTAATCACAGCGACTCTGCCTGTATTAAAGCGACTCTGCCGGTATTGCGGGGCTACGTGCCGCAACCACGTGCCTGGGGCGGTCACAGCAGCCCGGTCTTCGGCCACAGTAGCCCTGCAGCAGCCCAATAGCATCCCCACAACAGCCCCACAAGCCACAGCAGCCCACAGCAGCCCACAGCAGCCCCGGCCGGCGGCCACAGCAGCTTCGGCCGGCGGCCCCGGCAGCTCCGCGGCGCCAATCGGCCGGCGGCCGGCTGAATGCGCGCTTATGAGACGTTGACACCCCGGCAGGGCGGTAGGTATCGAGCGAGGCGGCGCGCTCGGCCGGCGAATTGCCTCAATAAGGTCTGATTGGGCCGGCGAGGAGCGCGGCGCTGGCTCTCCAGGTGGGCTCCACTGTGACTGACGCGCAATCAGCGCGCGACGAGACGGCCGGCCGGCGCCGCCGAGAGCGGGCCGCCGAACAGTGCGGACTCGGCACTCTGTCCGCCGCGGTACGGACTCTGCCCGCCGTACTGGCTCTGCCCACGATACGGATTGTCCGCGGTACGGACTCGGGACTGTCCGCGGTACACACTGTCCGCGGTACATACTGTCCGCGGTACAGACTGACCGCGGTACGGACTCGGGACTGCCCGCGGTACGGACTCGGGACTGTCCGCGGTACGGACTCTGTCCGCGGTACACACTGTCCGCGGTACATACTGTCCGCGGTACAGATTGTCCGCGGTACAGGCCCTGCGCTGCAGGCAGCTCTCGGTACGGACTCGTTCCCCGTTACAGACCTTTTAACTACGAACTGCCTACGTTGTGTACTTTAAACACTGTTAATGTTTGCAATACAGACTCTCCAGAGACTGCTGCTAAAAAACACTGCAATTCTTAGCTATTCTTAGCGTTAGCACGACTTTACTTCTTTTTCCTCGATTTTGCTTTCCTCTGGGACGTTTCATTTTTGTTATTTTTTTCCTGGTGCAAACGCATTACATCAAATAAGGACGGCTACAAATTGTCATAATAATTGTCCAAGAGCAATGTTTCTTCTAGTTTTGGCCTCTTCTCCTGACAACTATTAGACCCCGCTCAAGTTGTACCTACCAATCTCAGGCAAGTATGGAAAACACCCCCAACCTCGAACTGCTCCGGCTGTTTTTCAATAGAAAAACACAATTCTAACGAATAGTGTTTGTCTTTTCAAACAACCTGCGGTTATGTGCACGGGACAACGAGACAGGACAGTATGACAGACCAGTGTCCGGAGGGGAGAGGATAGTACGACAGAGCCGGTGTCTGGAGGAGACAGTACCACAGACCGGTGTCTTGAGGAGACAGTACGGCAGACCAGTGTCCGGAGGGGAGAGGATAGTACGACAGAGCCGGTGTCTGGAGGAGACAGTACCACAGACCGGTGTCCGGAGGGGACTGTACGGCAGACCGGTGTCCGGAGGGGACTGTACGGCAGACCAGTGTCCGCAGGGGTCTGTACACACAGACCGATGTCCGCAGAGGCCAGAGGACAGTACCACAGACCGGGACGGCCCGGACCGCTGACGAGGCCGGCCCGGTGCGACCATCCGTCAGCCGTGATGAGCGATTGGCGCCGCCTTTCCGGCACGCTCGCGCCGCGCCGTGTCGGTAATTGCCGCCGGCTACGATCGACAGGGAATGGCGGCCGCGCGCCGACCCAGCCCGGCCCGCCGCGATTCCGACTGTAGCCCGGCCAGCCGCGACCGAGACTGGACGGCGTTGACTGGACCCATGGTTAGTGCCAGTTCACCTCTGGCCGGCCGCAGGTCCGCGCAATGATCAAACACGTCGCCTCTCTCCCCCTCCCCTCTTTCTCTCTCCCTCCCTGAAAAATGGGAGCAGCCGTTTAGGGTGTTTCTGTTCCTTTTTAAATCAGCTCTATGTGGAAGCGATAGGAGTGAACCTCTCCCGATCCTAAGCTGACGATCTGGAGGTTTTCCTCTAGTTCTTGTTCTCTGCTCAGCGAAGGAGAAATGGCGCTGGCCATTGATCCCAGATGGAGTTGGTATCCAGCCTGTGTGGCACGTCTTTGTTGGAAAATCGCTACAAATCTCAGGGCAAATATAGCTGGCGGAAAGTCTCCCAAGGCTCGGACAAACTTCTCTTGGCTCCTTACCAGCATGGATCGCAGGCTTTGGAACTGATGAAACTTCAATGAATTCAGAACAGGCCCGTAGAAAACTCCTAACTTAGTTCGGCTAAGTACAGGGCTGGGTAATTACCACAGACGATCAATAGCCGTTTATGAGCAAACCGTTCGACAAGAGACAGGAGTTCAAAGTTAAGTATGTAGGCCAACTTTGTCACAGCTTTCTTATTCTGGTGCTTAGCACGCGGCACGATTATAAATGGCGTCCGCCTACTGTTCATTTAAGCTGTTTATGAAATAGTTTATAAGTGAGCTTTAATTAATTTGCAACAACAGCAAACTAATTTATCCACAATTTAAAGGCCCTATACACCTCAAAGTGAGTGTATAATGCGTATATGATAGATAAGTGACATACTCACTGTCTCTGTCGGCTGCGCCGTCGCTGGATTTTCGGGGTTCGATCGGTGGGACGGGGCGCACCCCGGGCTGCTTCCGTCCGCCGTGGGTTCTCGCTGGTTTCCGAGCCTGGTGGGTCGGTGGGACGGTGGGTCAGTGGGGCGGTGGGGCGGTGGGTCAGTGGGTTGGTGGGTTGGTTAGGCGGTGGGGCGGGGCAGTGCGCGCCTCCGGCGGCTGCTCCGGCCCGCCGCGCAGGGGCGCTGCCGCTCTCGGGTTTTGCATTCTGCCACTGCGGCCTTTGCGTGACGCTTTGTGCCGATCTTACTGATATGTGGCTGTTGTGGTCTGCTTTGTATAAATAAAGCTTCAATAAGGAAAACCACGCAGCCCAAATCTCGCCCCCCTGGCCGTGCCCCAAACAGAGCTCCCCAAACCGTATCCCAAAGCCGGGCTCTCCCGCTGAGCCGCCGTGACACGCCGTATGCCGTGCTCCCCCGCTGACCCGCTCCGCCGTGTGACGTGCAGTCCCGTCGCGCGGCCCTGACGTGTCATGTGCCGTGTGCCGGCAGTCGAAGCACCCGCACCTGGTGTACGAGGCGCCCAGCCTGACCACCCAGGCGTGCGCCAACACGCGCATGTACGAGTGGGGCCTGCGCAACTACCGCGACCTATCGGACGTGCCGCCGCCCGAGTGGGCCGGCCAGGCGCCGCGCGCGCCCAGAGACGTCCGCATGGTCACCAAGCACATCGAGCTGGCGCTGGTGCTCGACAAGGCCATGGTGAGAGCTGGTGGACGTGCGGGAGGCCATGGTGAGAGCTGGTGGACGTGCGGGAGGCCATGGTGAGAGCTGGTGGACGTGCGGGAGGCCATGGTGAGAGCTGGTGGACGTGCGGAAGACCTGGTGGGCGTGAGGCAGGCCCTGGGACTGAGTCTGCCGCCGTCCTGCCGTCCGGGGCTGTCTGTGGTCCTCCCGTGGTGCCTGTACATAGTCTCATTGCCTGTGTTAGTGAGATATCTGCTGGTCTTTACGCTGCTGTCTTGTTCATTTGAGCATTTCGAGCATTGAAGGTGAAGCTGATTGGTGGAAACACGCGAGTAAGAGCATTGAGCAGCTCGGCAGTAGACCTGACGATCTACTCAATGGTCAACATTTACGTTAGATGTTTGCCCGTTTTTATGACACAATAGTGCATTTGCTTAATTAATTAGGCATAATCCACACTGCCACAGTAGCGTGCTTCGCATTCAAATATCATCACATGCGTCGTAAAGATGCTAGATTATCTCTTTACTCGACATCATCTCGTTGTGCATGTTATCATCAATGTCGGCAGTGACCTGTGTCGTGTGTGATTTCAGTTTGACCTGCGTAACGCCTCCACCCGGGAGAGCGTTATCCACGACGCCATCCAAATAGTGAACATCGCCGACCAGGTGAGAGTCTGGTGGTCCTTTGGTAGGCGGGACCTTGTCCTTGGGCGGGCGGGACTTGGTCCTTTGGCGACCGGGACCTGGTCCTTGGGCGACTGGGACCTAAATGGGAATGCGCATTCACGGCATTTGGGAACATTCACCAGTATTCACCATTCATGTATTCATTCATTCAGGTAACATTCATAATCATTCGCGCCACCAAACACATTCGGCGAGATTAGCTGGACGTAAATAAAAAGAATACATTGCATATTATTGCCGGTAACTCCGGCTAGTGCTGCCAAATCCTATCCACGGCATTGGTAAGATTGGGTATAATGGGATCACTGGGTTCGGTGAGGGAGGACTGTCCCCTGTGGGAAGGGACTGGTCCTGTGGGAAACGTCTGGTCCCCGATCCGCTGGTGAATGAGGACGGGTCTAGCGAGTTATCGGGAAGGACGGGTCCAGTGCGGAGGCTGGTCCTTCGGCGGGAGGGGCAGCCCTCTGGTGTGGAGGAGCATTCCTCTGCCGAGGGAGGACTGGTCCGATGTGGTTCAGTAGGCGCGCACCGCTCCGTGTAGGATTATTTGTCGTCCAGACTCTGGGATGTCCAGCCGGCTATGACGGCGCCCCGTCCACCGTCTCGGCTGCACCCGACCAGCCCAGCCCCAGTCCCCCCTCGTCCTCCGGCCAGGCACCTGTTTCGCGCCGGGAGGAGTGTCAGCCGCCGCCTGTTCCGCGCGCGGAGGGCCGTCGTTGTCCGTTCCTGTTTCGCGCCGGACAAATATCGGCCGCTGCCGCTCGCCGTTTTCTCGCGTTGTTAGAGAAAACAGAGCGGCCGGTCGGCGGAGGCCGGCTGCGGCGCGCCGGTCGATGGCAGTCGGCAGAGGAGGCGCCGTCGACAGGTAGCTCACGCGCTCCGCCGGCCGACCGGCGCGCACCTCGGTCCCAAGATACGCAGCCGCGCCGGCGGCGGCGGCCGGTATCGACCGGCGGACAGCGGCTCGTCCGCCGCCGGCAGCCACGCCCCATCTGCGCGGCACCGAGAGCCGCGCGCGGCGCCGCTAGAAATTAACCATTTACGAGAGTGGCGCCGTTGGCGACTGCCAGCCGACTGCAAATCGTGTCCGGACAGTCGCCGCCGTCCGGAGACGGGCCGGAAAATGACCCGTTCACACGGGCACGGCGCCCTTTGTGTGGCGGCGCCCGCGGCACCCGCCGCCCTCTCCCATCTGCTGATTGAGGGCAGTGATTTGGCACCCTGCTGGGTCCCTGCTGAGCGGCCACTCCACTTTGATCAGCGGCGCCCGGCGCCCGGCGCGGCCCACACTGAAAACTTTTTTACTCCTTCCTCGGGTGTAAACACCTCAGGAGGGTGTAGCTGAAATTCTGCGTTTTTTGCCCTCGTCTGAGGTGTAATATTTACACTCAAATAAAGTGTAACAAGACACTCGCCCGGGGCGTTGACTTTGCACGTTTACACTCTCCAGGCGGATGAAAAAGGCGGGTACACTCGTGATTGACCTTTTACTGTAGTGTTACACCTAGAGCAGAGCACGCCTTCCGAGTGTATATATCGATCCGATTTCGGGTGTTGTTGATTCCAGATCCCCTTCCCCTTTCTTCCCCCCTTTCCCCTGCATCGGTCGCGCTCACGCTCTTTACAAAGAATAAACACCAGTATAATGTCAGAATATTTTAACATTTATTGGACGTTGATCCGTGCAACAAGTACATGAAACGGCGAGTCCTCTGCAGATATGAACCGGGGCTAGGCGTTCGAGTCCAGCGCCTTCGAGCGCGCTCGAAAAAGATAGCGATGTTCGTGATGGACAGCTCGTCCTGCATGTTCGCCATTGTTTGGAATTTGGCGATCTTCTCCCTTTCGACCCAAAGTGCGCCATCTGCGATGGTGGACGGTCCGTTCGTTGTCGCAGGGCCAAAAACGACCTGCTCCTCACGCATCTCGAGTAGAAGGTGTTCGAGTTCCTCCTCTGAAGCACACATGGGAAGCGAAATTACTCATACTTGCCGCTGCAAGAAAGTTTAACCCGCGCCCGGATGGGCCTCTCAGCCAACTTTGCCATGGGGGGAGGGGAGCACACCAGGTTATCTATAGAAAGTATAGCTAAGACGCAGACAAAAGCAACAGAGCTCGTTATAGATCGTTCAGAATCATTCAGGTCATTTTTTGAACAGGTCATTGCTGAGGTCACTGAAGGTCTCCAAACGTAAAAATTTCACGAAGTTCTAGTATTAAACAAGGATGAAGCAAAAACCAATAACCCTATAGTGCCATAAATATCAGGAGAAGCAGAGCAGAGCCAGCACCGCGGCGCGCCTCATTTTTGCCATCCCTGCATTACAAATTAGCTTTGGAAATCACGCGCACGACCTAATTTTTCGAGAAAAAGTATAATCTCGAAAATGCTGTCACCTACTTACCCGTTCCGGAGCAGGTGGGTCTTCCTCAATGCTCAATAGTCACACCAGCTCAGCACACTAACAACCACGTTCGTTGAAGCACAATGGCGCACTGAAAGCCGCGTGGGTGCGAGCGGCGTCGCGCGCATGCGCCTTTGCCGTCCGGTACATTACACTTCAGAGCAGTGTTGAGCCAAAACAAAAATGCGGCAATCGCAGATCAAGGATCCTTTGTCAATAACACAGCACACATGAAGCGCGATCATCTACTCTACAGGAAGGTGTTATTCGTAAATGAACAAAAGTTAGGTGTTAAAGTTCAGAATTGCACTTCCATAAGGTGTTGTATGAGTGTGATTTGCACACCAACGAGGTGTAATTTCGCTTTGATCAGTTTCTAAGCGTAATTGCCGTGTTATAGACCTGCGTATAGTGCTCAGTCTGCTATTTACACCTTTAGGTGGTGTTAATACGGCGATGTGAGTGTAAAAATGCTTTCAGTGCACACGGCGACACCGCAGCGCGGCCCACAGCGACACCGCGGAGCAGGCGCAGTTCACAGCGACACCGCAGAGCAAGCACGCGCGGCCCACGGGCAGCACCGCCGGTTGCATAGCGCGGTTCACAGCGACACCGCAGAGCAGTCCACTGTCCGGTAGTCCAGTCACCGCCCCGAGTAGACCACCGAGCTCCGCGGTCTCCTCCGAGTAGACCTTCGGGCTCCCCGGTCTCCTCCAAGTAGACCACCGGGCTCCCCGGTCTCCTCCGAGTAGACCACCGGGCTCCCCGGTCTCCTCCGAGCACACATCCGGGCTCCCCGGTCTCCTCCGAGCACACCTCCGGGCTCCCCTCCTCCCCGAAACTTTTGAATGCAGGCAAAACGTCACAGCTGTTCATCACAGCGCACTTATTTTCCGGAACTGAGAAAATAGACGGCTTGTGCAATCAATTATCTGACTTTTAACGGGGTAAACAACGTTGGAAGCACCGGAACGAGGTAAACAAGCATTTGAAAAAGTCTCTTCCTTTCGCAATATGTAGATTTTGCCAAGTTCGGTGCCCTGATCAGCGTATCAAAGCTCGTGTTCTGTGCTGTTTTGTTTACGTGCTCCGGTCAAGGCTTGAGAAGAAATAGATATTGAACTGAAGAAGCACCTTGAACTTTTACAACCATAACTAATGGTTGGCTGCTAGCCGCTGAATGTCTTAGCTCAAGATGCTAAGTCGAAAAAATGTTTACCACTTACCAATGAGGTTTGCAAATTTACAGCTTAGAAAGGAAGTCACAAGTGCCCTCACATCTGCACTGTAATGTCGGTAGCAGAGCGCTCCCTTACCTCACCAATATGCATCACCGATTTTTTAGTGTAAATTAAGTATGGTGAATGGAATAAACGATATAACGAATAAGCTAGCTGGCATTCGTCCAAATACAACATTTTCATTATCCTATCTAGTTTGAACGTTTGTTGCGCATTGCACCATTTGATGTCTTAGATTGCATTGGCGGAAAATTGTCGGTAATTAACTGAATTATCGGCAAAGCCCAGTTTTCAGGCAACTTTTAACACGGCTTGGCTTCACCGTCATTTCAATCGTCATTGACCTCCTCGTCAATTAGAGGAACTGAAAATACCCGACACCTGCATCTCCTCAGTCCCTGTTATAAATGCACCAAAGAGGGTCTTTTCAGTGACTCGTTGTTAGTTCCCATTTATACACGAGATCAATCCCTAAAGTTTTATCTAAGTATCCAATAGGTGCCTGGCGTTTGAGTGCCGCGTTTACAACTCTGTGCATTTCGGAGCGGTACGCTGCACTTGTACGACGAGCGCACATTTTACAGCTTCCGTGGTCAGCTAAAACTCAGTTACAAGGCGCTTTAACCCGAAAAGCCCATTTACAAGGTGCCTTAGTCGGAACGTTACATGACCTAATGCATCCAGTTACAGCTTGCTCCATCGCGACTGCCCACTGCAGCGGGCGAGTGCGCCCGTCCTGGTAACTGCAGGCCGGGCGGGGTGCTGACGGTCAGTGGCGCAGCCAGGGGGGGTGAAAGGGGTGAGATCTCACCCCCGTCTCTTATCTTAGGGGCCCACCGTCGATTCGAACTGTAACGTTATGCAGCCTGACAATTTTTTGTCACTAATGTCAAGGTCCGTCATAGGACTGAAAAACAGTTTTCAGGCCTGATAGCCCCCCCCCCCCTTTAGGATTTATAGTCCCATTTTATGATTTAAGGGGGTACATCCAAGGCCCGATTGAACTAATCGAAGGCCTAGGAGGGTCCGTTCCATGGAGAGGGCCATTTCAGGCCTGAGAGGGCCCATTTCAGGTCTGTGAGGGCCCATTTCAGGCCTGAAGGGCCCAGTTGAAGCTTGAGAGGGCCCATTTCAGGCCCTAGAGGGCCTGTTTGAGGCTTGAGAGGGGCCCATTTCAGGCCTGAGAGGGCCGATTTGATGCTTGTGAGGGCCCATTTCAGGCCTGAAGGGGCCCATTTCATGCCCTAGAGGGCATGTTTGAGGCCTGATAGGGCCCATTTCAGGCCTGAGAGGGGTCCATTTCAGGCCTAAGGGGGGCCATTTCAGGCCTGAGGGGGCCCATTTCAAGCTTGAGAGGGCCCATTTCATGCCCTAGAGGGCCTGTTTGGGGCCAGAGAGGGCCCGTTTGAGGCCAGAGAGGGTCCGTTTGAGGCCTGAGAGGGGCCCATTTCAGGCATAAGAGGCACCATTTCAGACCTGAGAGGGCCCAGTTACGGTATGAGGGGGCCCTTTTTCGACATGATAGGGACCATTTCCGGGCTGAGGGGGCCCATTTCAGGTCTGAGAGGGTCCATTTCAGGTCTGAGAGGGCTAATGTCAGGCATGAGAGGGCCCATTTCAGGCGCTTGAGGTCCTATTTGAGGCCTGAGAGGGGCCCATTTCAGGTCTAAGAGGGCTAATGTCAGGCCTGAGAGGGCCCATTTCAGACCCTAGAGGACCTATTTGAGGCCTGAGAGGGTCCACTTCAGGCCTGAGAGGGGCCCATTTCAGGTCTGAGAGGGCCCAGTTCAGGCCTGAGAAGACTCATCCCAGGAATGAAAGGATCATCCTATGTGTGGGAGGGTCCGTACTCCGTGCGTGGTCTGGGTCTGAGAGGGCCTATCCCAATCCTGATTGAGCCGATATCATGTTAGATACAGGTCAACTCACCACATGTATATTGATGGCCCAGTTCACGTCTGTTCTGGAGTTCTAATCGTCGCGTTGTGTATTTATGTTAACTTCATTGTGCCTAATGTTTCAGTTAATATTTGAAAAGACCAGATTCTTTATGTGCCATCTCTACGTTACCGATCCAAGCAAAGTCAATGGTTTGTCAGTATGTTACGTTCTTTGATCAGATCAATTCTTTAATATGATAAGCACATTCTTTACGTTACTGATCTTAACAAATTCTTTATTCTTTATGATCGTTCTCAGTTATCAATGGTTGAAGCTGCAGTGTAAAATTCACAGTTTATTCACTGCACTTTCCAAAAAACATTCAAGCACTCTCAAAGTCCACTTGTTCTCTTTTTCAAACTGAGTTCAACAACCTTTTCTACAAAATTAACATCGCGTGACATTTCACACGAAACCCGGTTTCGGGATCCTCCGAAACAATGTCTAATGGGCCCATCTCAAGACTCAGAGATTTTACGCTTCAGGAAGCCTACCCCAGGCGTAAGGGGGCCCAGAGAGGTTTTTGAGGCTCATGGAGCTCCCGCAGTACGCTATGTCAGCCTCTGAGAAAGCCATGCAGGGCCCTTAAGATGCCAAGCCGACATCTGAAAAATCCTCTTCTCTTCAGGCCTGTGCCTGCCTCACCGCCCGGCCCCACCCTGACGTCTAGGGGTTTGACGCCTAGGCATTCATCAGGACTCCACACCGGTCCATAATGGCTCCAAACTGACACCTGAGGGTCCTGCACCGGCTTTTGAGGGGCCCACCGACCTCTGATAGCCACCACGCAGGTCTCAAAAGACCATGTCGATTGTTGATATCTAAACCCCCAAGTCTTGGAAGGCCTGTGCTCTATGCAGATTCTTGAGGGCTTTACGTGGGCTTGTAAACATCCCGAACTGGCTCTAGCCTAGCTCGACCGCGCCCCGCAGAGCAGGGCCCCAGGCTTTCCAGTTTTACGCCCCTGAGGGGTGTTTGAATATTCCCTTCTAACCTGACTCCAGGGTCACGTAGCGACAAGTGCGGCGGTAGGCGGCTTTCTAAAGAGCGTCGAAAATCATGGAGAAATTACTTCAGTCATGTTGCAGTTCAGACCAAAGCCCACGTTATCATGTTCATCGAAGGAAAAGTTTCGCCTAATTCGACACTCGAGGACATATAAAGCTATAGCGCGCTGAAAGTGGGTTCGATAGCTCTCTAACGCGTGCAATCAGCCATGGGAGGGGGGGGGGCGTATCGGCCAAACCCGATCATAATTTAAGAAGGCTAGAAAGAGTCAAAGACGAGAAAAGCAACAGATAGCTGTAGGATGCTTCAGAATCGTAAAGGTCATTTTTCGATTAGGTCATCGCTGAGGTTATTGAAGATGAAATTATGATAAAATTATGATAAACACAAAGACAAGATTACGACGAAAATATTCTTGTTTTTTATATTTTCACAAATAACCGTATAACTCGTGAACCAAAGAGCTAGAGCTTCGCGGAACAACTCATTCGATAGGCCTTTCAAAACGCTTTCGCATTTAAGACTATTTGACCTCAATGCCTCATGTCAATGGTTTGGCAACAGAGCAGAGGGCAAAACCATCTAAATAGTCGCATTTTACAAAAATAGTTTTGCTAAGAATTTTTGCAAGAACTTTGGTGAGAAAAATTATGAGACATTTACTTTGTCATCATTCTTTCGTTAACATGCATCGAATGTTAACACCTATAATTTCACATAAAAACTTCAACTTCAAAATGTGACCGCAGATCAAGGTCATGCCTTTACTTGAGAAGTTCATGATGGTCATCAACTGATCCGTATGGATGATTAACACCTTCAAGACAATTTCATTACTCTACCTCGTCTCCTATATCAAAAGTACCTAATACCGAGTTGAAAAACTGATGTTGAGCTTTTTTAAAAGCTTTTTGACCTAGCCCGACCCATTTGAGCGGCCGCTGGCCATCAATTGCACTCTGTCCATCAAATATGGGCAGAATGGTCGTGTTTCTGTAAATATGCTGTTGTTTTTTACGTGCCTCTTCAGATCAAGAGATATTTGTTCTTTTCCCCGATTTGGCTGGTAATGATCAGGACAATGATCTGACCTTTCGTTGTTGGTAAGGGGCCCCCATTAGGTTGAGGGGGCCCACTTTGCTGGGGGGCCCATCGCGAACGTCTCTCACCCCCGTCGCCAGAGTTCTGGCTGCGCCACTGCTGACGGTCCGCTCCGTTTCAGTACTACAAGACGCTGAACACGCGCATCTCGCTGGTGTACATCGAGACGTGGTCGGCGGAGAACCAGGCCACCGTCAGCCCGGCCGAGGAGATCCAGCAGGCGCTGCTCAACTTCAAGGACTACGGCAGCCGCAAGCTGTTCCAGATCTCCCGCGACACCACTCACCTGCTCACGTCAGTACTCACCCGCTCACCTCGGTACCTACTCACCTGCTCACGTCAGTACTCACCCGCTCACCTCGGTACTCACCTGCTCACCTCAGTACTCACCCGCTCACCTCAGTACCTACTCACCTGCTCACCTCAGTACTCACCTGCTAACATCAGTACTCACCTGCTCACGTCAGTACTCACCCGCTCACCTCGGTACTCACCTGCTCACCTCAGTACCTACTCACCTGCTCACGTCAGTACTCACCCGCTCACCTCGGTACCTACTCACCTGCTCACGTCAGTACTCACCCGCTCACCTCAGTACCTACTCACCTGCTCACCTCAGTACCTACTCACCTGCTCACGTCAGTACTCACCTGCTAACCTCAGTACTCACCTGCTCACGTCAGTACTATTCTGCTCACCTCAGTACTATTCTGCTCACCTCAGTACTATTCTGCTCACGTCAGTACCTACTCACCTGCTCACGTCAGTACTCACCCGCTCACCTCGGTACTCACCTGCTCACCTCAGTACCTACTCACCTGCTCACGTCAGTACTCACCCGCTCACCTCGGTACCTACTCACCTGCTCACCTCAGTACCTACTCACCTGCTCACCTCAGTACCTACTCACCTGCTCACCTCAGTACTCACCTGCTCACCTTGTGGACAGAGGGAGGGAGAAAGAAAGGGAGTAAGGAGGGGAGGAAGGGAGTACTAATCTACTCACGTCCTCACTCACCCGCTCACGTCAGTGGCGAGAGGGAGGGACAGGAAAAGGGAGGAAGGGAATGGAAGGGAGGAGGGAGGAGAGAGAGCTCTGACCTCCTCAGTGCTCGTGTCAGTGTGGGAAAGGAGAGAGGGAGGGAGGAGAGAGAGCTCTGACCTCCTCAGTGCTCGTGTCAGTGTGGGAAAGGAGAGAGGGAGGGAGGAGAGAGAGCTCTGACCTCCTCAGTGCTCGTGTCAGTGTGGGAAAGGAGAGAGGGAGGGAGGAGAGAGAGCTCTGACCTCCTCAGTGCTCGTGTCAGTGTGGGAAAGGAGAGAGGGAGGGAGGAGAGAGAGCTCTGACCTCCTCAGTGCTCGTGTCAGTGTGGGAAAGGAGAGAGGGAGGGAGGAGAGAGAGCTCTGACCTCCTCAGTGCTCGTGTCAGTGTGGGAAAGGAGAGAGGGAGGGAGGAGAGAGAGAGCACTGACCTCCTCAGTGCTCGTGTCAGTGTGGGAAAGGAGAGAGGGAGGAAGGAGAGAGAGAGCTCTGACCTCCTCAGTGCTCGTGTCAGTGTGGGAAAGGTGGGAGGGAGGAAGGAGAGAGAGAGCTCTGACCTCCTCAGTGCTCGTGTCAGTGTGGGAAAGGAGAGAGGGAGGGAGGAGAGAGAGCTCTGACCTCCTCAGTGCTCGTGTCAGTGTGGGAAAGGAGAGAGGGAGGGAGGAGAGAGAGCTCTGACCTCCTCAGTGCTCGTGTCAGTGTGGGAAAGGAGAGAGGGAGGAAGGAGAGAGAGCTCTGACCTCCTCAGTGCTCGTGTCAGTGTGGGAAAGGAGAGAGGGAGCGAGGAGAGAGAGAGCTCTGACCTCCTCAGTGCTCGTGTCAGTGTGGGAAAGGAGAGAGGGAGGGAGGAGAGAGAGCTCTGACCTCCTCAGTGCTCGTGTCAGTGTGGGAAAGGAGAGAGGGAGGGAGGAGAGAGAGCTGACCTCCTCAGTGCTCGTGTCAGTGTGGGAAAGGAGAGAGGGAGCGAGAGGAGAGAGAGAGCTCTGACCTCCTCAGTGCTCGTGTCAGTGTGGGAAAGGAGAGAGGGAGGGAGGAGAGAGAGCTCTGACCTCCTCAGTGCTCGTGTCAGTGTGGGAAAGGAGAGAGGGAGGGAGGAGAGAGAGCTGACCTCCTCAGTGCTCGTGTCAGTGTGGGAAAGGAGAGAGGGAGCGAGAGGAGAGAGAGAGCTCTGACCTCCTCAGTGCTCGTGTCAGTGTGGGAAAGGAGAGAGGGAGGGAGGAGAGAGAGCTCTGACCTCCTCAGTGCTCGTGTCAGTGTGGGAAAGGTGGGAGATATCACTCGTGTCAGTGTGGGAAAGGTGGGAGATATCACTCGTGTCAGTGTGGGAAAGGTGGGAGATATCATTCGTGTCAGTGTGGGAAAGGTGGGAGATATCATTCGTGTCAGTGTGGGAAAGGTGGGAGATATCATCTCGTGTCAGTGTGGGAAAGGTGGGAGATATCATCTCGTGTCAGTGTGGGAAAGGTGGGAGATATCATTCGTGTCAGTGTGGGAAAGGTGGGAGATATCATCTCGTGTCAGTGTGGGAAAGGTGGGAGATATCATTCGACCATTGCACTTCCCATACATAGCTCTGACCTCCTCAGTGCTCGTGTCAGTGTGGGAAAGGAGAGAGGGAGGGAGGAGAGAGAGCTCTGACCTCCTCAGTGCTCGTGTCAGTGTGGGAAAGGAGAGAGGGAGGGAGGAGAGAGAGCTCTGACCTCCTCAGTGCTCGTGTCAGTGTGGGAAAGGAGAGAGGGAGGGAGGAGAGAGAGAGCACTGACCTCCTCAGTGCTCGTGTCAGTGTGGGAAAGGAGAGAGGGAGGAAGGAGAGAGAGAGAGCTCTGACCTCCTCAGTGCTCGTGTCAGTGTGGGAAAGGTGGGAGGGAGGAAGGAGAGAGAGAGCTCTGACCTCCTCAGTGCTCGTGTCAGTGTGGGAAAGGAGAGAGGGAGGGAGGAGAGAGAGCTCTGACCTCCTCAGTGCTCGTGTCAGTGTGGGAAAGGAGAGAGGGAGGGAGGAGAGAGAGCTCTGACCTCCTCAGTGCTCGTGTCAGTGTGGGAAAGGAGAGAGGGAGGAAGGAGAGAGAGCTCTGACCTCCTCAGTGCTCGTGTCAGTGTGGGAAAGGAGAGAGGGAGGAAGGAGAGAGAGCTCTGACCTCCTCAGTGCTCGTGTCAGTGTGGGAAAGGAGAGAGGGAGCGAGGAGAGAGAGCTCTGACCTCCTCAGTGCTCGTGTCAGTGTGGGAAAGGAGAGAGGGAGGGAGGAGAGAGAGCTCTGACCTCCTCAGTGCTCGTGTCAGTGTGGGAAAGGAGAGAGGGAGGGAGGAGAGAGAGAGCACTGACCTCCTCAGTGCTCGTGTCAGTGTGGGAAAGGAGAGAGGGAGGAAGGAGAGAGAGAGCTCTGACCTCCTCAGTGCTCGTGTCAGTGTGGGAAAGGTGGGAGGGAGGAAGGAGAGAGAGAGCTCTGACCTCCTCAGTGCTCGTGTCAGTGTGGGAAAGGAGAGAGGGAGGGAGGAGAGAGAGCTCTGACCTCCTCAGTGCTCGTGTCAGTGTGGGAAAGGAGAGAGGGAGGGAGGAGAGAGAGCTCTGACCTCCTCAGTGCTCGTGTCAGTGTGGGAAAGGAGAGAGGGAGGAAGGAGAGAGAGCTCTGACCTCCTCAGTGCTCGTGTCAGTGTGGGAAAGGAGAGAGGGAGCGAGGAGAGAGAGAGCTCTGACCTCCTCAGTGCTCGTGTCAGTGTGGGAAAGGAGAGAGGGAGGGAGGAGAGAGAGCTCTGACCTCCTCAGTGCTCGTGTCAGTGTGGGAAAGGAGAGAGGGAGGGAGGAGAGAGAGCTCTGACCTCCTCAGTGCTCGTGTCAGTGTGGGAAAGGTGGGAGATATCACTCGTGTCAGTGTGGGAAAGGTGGGAGATATCACTCGTGTCAGTGTGGGAAAGGTGGGAGATATCATTCGTGTCAGTGTGGGAAAGGTGGGAGATATCATTCGTGTCAGTGTGGGAAAGGTGGGAGATATCATCTCGTGTCAGTGTGGGAAAGGTGGGAGATATCATCTCGTGTCAGTGTGGGAAAGGTGGGAGATATCATTCGTGTCAGTGTGGGAAAGGTGGGAGATATCATCTCGTGTCAGTGTGGGAAAGGTGGGAGATATCATTCGACCATTGCACTTCCCATACATAGCTCTGACCTCCTCAGTGCTCGTGTCAGTGTGGGAAAGGAGAGAGGGAGGGAGGAGAGAGAGCTCTGACCTCCTCAGTGCTCGTGTCAGTGTGGGAAAGGAGAGAGGGAGGGAGGAGAGAGAGCTCTGACCTCCTCAGTGCTCGTGTCAGTGTGGGAAAGGAGAGAGGGAGGGAGGAGAGAGAGAGCACTGACCTCCTCAGTGCTCGTGTCAGTGTGGGAAAGGAGAGAGGGAGGAAGGAGAGAGAGAGCTCTGACCTCCTCAGTGCTCGTGTCAGTGTGGGAAAGGTGGGAGGGAGGAAGGAGAGAGAGAGCTCTGACCTCCTCAGTGCTCGTGTCAGTGTGGGAAAGGAGAGAGGGAGGGAGGAGAGAGAGCTCTGACCTCCTCAGTGCTCGTGTCAGTGTGGGAAAGGAGAGAGGGAGGGAGGAGAGAGAGCTCTGACCTCCTCAGTGCTCGTGTCAGTGTGGGAAAGGAGAGAGGGAGGAAGGAGAGAGAGCTCTGACCTCCTCAGTGCTCGTGTCAGTGTGGGAAAGGAGAGAGGGAGGAAGGAGAGAGAGCTCTGACCTCCTCAGTGCTCGTGTCAGTGTGGGAAAGGAGAGAGGGAGCGAGGAGAGAGAGCTCTGACCTCCTCAGTGCTCGTGTCAGTGTGGGAAAGGAGAGAGGGAGGGAGGAGAGAGAGCTCTGACCTCCTCAGTGCTCGTGTCAGTGTGGGAAAGGAGAGAGGGAGGGAGGAGAGAGAGCTGACCTCCTCAGTGCTCGTGTCAGTGTGGGAAAGGAGAGAGGGAGCGAGAGGAGAGAGAGAGCTCTGACCTCCTCAGTGCTCGTGTCAGTGTGGGAAAGGAGAGAGGGAGGGAGGAGAGAGAGCTCTGACCTCCTCAGTGCTCGTGTCAGTGTGGGAAAGGAGAGAGGGAGGGAGGAGAGAGAGCTGACCTCCTCAGTGCTCGTGTCAGTGTGGGAAAGGAGAGAGGGAGCGAGAGGAGAGAGAGAGCTCTGACCTCCTCAGTGCTCGTGTCAGTGTGGGAAAGGTGGGAGATATCACTCGTGTCAGTGTGGGAAAGGTGGGAGATATCACTCGTGTCAGTGTGGGAAAGGTGGGAGATATCATTCGTGTCAGTGTGGGAAAGGTGGGAGATATCATTCGTGTCAGTGTGGGAAAGGTGGGAGATATCATTCGTGTCAGTGTGGGAAAGGTGGGAGATATCATCTCGTGTCAGTGTGGGAAAGGTGGGAGATATCATTCGACCATTGCACTTCACATAGATGGCTAGAAATGCTTTTGGTTTCGACAATGTTGCAGTGCAAACTTGAATCAGTTGTATTACCACTTGGTAGGTACATACGGCGCGCTTAGCGGCGGGATAAGGGTATAAAAAGCTTATAAACACCTTAAAATGTGCACAATGCTACCCTTCATTATATCATGTACACTTTTATTCCGAGATTTTCAAGAATTCGAAAAAGAAAACCTAACAGTAGCCTTTAAATGACGTCTAAAAACAAGTAATGACTATTTTATTTATCGTACAAGAATAACCGTATGCTCACTATTCATTCATTTTAGGCTAATTTTGGATTGTTGAAAGGTAGTGAGCATAGCATACGGTTATTCTTCTACGATATTCAATCATGCTGCTCATTCTAGTACTTCGCCACCTTATTACTATTTTATTTATATTGTACACGAATTGAAAGCCGTAATCGCCACGCCATATGTGGAAGGCTTTTGATGTCAATACATACATGCATACATACATACATACATACATACGTGCATACAAGATATTATGCAGTTAGCTTGGAATATGAAAAGAGGAAGCTGAATGGCCAACATTTGAAGACATGTAAACAAGACACTCTGACTTAAATGGCAACCTTGAAATGTGCCGACATGGCGTCTCAGCGTAGGTACCAGGATGTCTTTATCCTGTTCTGCTCATCATTCATCATTTAACCGGAGCTGTGTGCAGGGAGTCTCTGGGCCCGGACCTTGAGTCCCATGGTCGGAGACCTAGTCTGTGGACCGAGTCTCCGATCCGGGGCCAGTCCCCGGAGCCGGACCGAGTCTGTGGACCTAGTCTGTGGACCTAGTCTGTGGACCGAGTCTCCGGTCCGGGGCCAGTCCCCGGAGCCGGAGCCGCACCGAGTCCCCAGGCCCGGACCTTGGGTCCCCGCTCCGGGCAGAGTCCCCGGAGCCGGACAGAGTCCCCAGGCCCGGACCTTGGGTCCCTGCTCCGGACAGAGTCCCCGGAGAGCGACGGGCGGCGTGGCGATGGCGCACTGCGCCACGTTCGCTCCCTTTCAGCGTACCGCGCCTCGTCAGCAGCGCGCCAGATTCATCTATCCTCCCGCCCACCAATTATCTCGCTAATGCCGGAAAACGTAAACGCGTGTCGGCCGGCTGCTCGCGAATCGATGACTCGGGTGCGCCGCCTCTCTCTCTCTCTCTCTCTCTCTCTCTCTCTCTCTCTCTCTCTCTCTCTCTCTCTCTCTCTCTCTCTCTCTCTCTCTCTCTCTCTCTCACACACACACCCTCTGTCTTCCACTCTCTCATTATGGTAAGGCAGCGGGGCGCGTTACATAACGCCAGAAAGTCGCATGTTCATGATAGGCATGCAAATGGTTATAGGTGTTACTGATGGGTTGGATTGCACCAGATAAATTGATATCATTATTCCCATATACCTAGCTACGTATTTAATACGATGTGAAATGGAGCTATTCAACAGGGGCGCGGGAACTACTTTCAGATTGGGAGGGGGGGGGGCACACCATTATAGCATGGGTGGAGCTTTTCCAGGGAAGTTGGTGGGGCAAAAAGTCGTCAAACCCACAATGTCCGATTATGAAGTTGAATAAAATGCCACAGCCCACACTGAATCAATTCCTATCATTACAGATATAACATTTTGCAATAAACAGACATTCCAAAGCTCTTCAATGCAAAAAAAAATATATTTTCAAAGCAACAGTCTTAGAAATCAGCTTAAGTTGGTGGGGCAAAACGCTTATTGGTGGGTATTGGTGGGGCAAAATACCAAGTTGGTGGGGCAGCTGCCCCACCAACTGTAGGTATAGGAAGCTCCGCCCCTGCATTATAGAGATCAACCTAGGGTACCTCCAAATCTAGTTTTCTCACTGGTTTCAGGCCACTTATTTTTCATCCCTTGGCTTTTTCAACAAAAAAGGAAACACAGGCATAGGAAGTGCGGTATTCCGTCGCAAAATTGTGGGGGCACCGCCCCCACGGCCCCAGAGTTGGGAGGCAAGCTGCCCCCACTGCCCCCCTCCCCCCCCCCGGTTCCCGCGCCTATGCTATTCAATGTGAAACCTCCAAACGGCTCCGGTACGAATGCTTTCCACTTACCATAAGAAATTTGGGATACCTAATCATCTAAGGTCTTGTGATCTAATACCAAACAGGGATTACTATATTGGAGATATTGCAGCGTAGTTATGACTTGGTTATGAGACCAGTCATGACCAGTATAACGCCTTTTGGGGCGACTAACGGAGCGAGCGAGCGGGTGGGCCGTGAACGTGCGAAATTGCGAGGCGGTACCTCCAACTGGCTTGGGCACGGCACACCACTAACCGGTCTCTAGCGATGTGCTAAATTTGAGCACAATCGGCCCAGCCGTTCTCGAGATCTGGAAGCGGGACCCTGCACGTGCGCACGTGCAAAATTGGTCCCAACTGACTTTTGCTTGGCACCCTACTAACCGGTCCCTAACCGTGTACCAAATTTGAGCGCAATCGGTCCAGCCCTTCTCGAGATCTGGAATCGACCCCTGCACGTGCGCACGTGCAGCGGCATCCCAACTATGGCACATGTAAATGCATTGTCTAGTGGGTGCCTTCCTACATGCCAACTTTCAGCGCAATCGGCCGTTACCGAGATATTGCAATTGCTAAAAAAACTGTCACCCACATGCATCGGGAATAGTCCAATACTTGGCAGAAGGAGTGAAGCTACCCTACAAAAATTACCGCATGTAAATCGGTCAAGTGGTTGCTGAGATATAAGCGTCGCAAAAGCGTGAACACACGGCCGGCCGGCCGGCAGGCCGGCCGCTCATACTCAGAAATTTCCGTTATTCTACGTATTCTACGTAAGACTCCGCTCGCTTCGCTCGCTCCGTAATAATGCATTTTATTCTCAATAAAACAAAGATTTATATCAGTAAAACATGTTTTCAATGTATTTCAATGGATGCCTATAACCGATCTGTGGTGACCTGTGACCGATCTGAGGTGACCTCTGACTGCAGCAACGGTGACCTCTGATCGTTCTGTGTGGTGACCCGTGACTGATCTGCGGTGACCTCTGACCTACCTGTGGTGACCTGTGACCGATCTTTTGTGGCCTGTGACCGATGTCCAGTGACCTCTGACCGATCTGTTGTGGCCTGTGACCGATGTCCAGTGACCTCTGACCGATCTGTTGTGACCTGTGACCGCAGCGGCGCGCGGTTCAAGTACCGCAAGACGGGGATGGCGGTGCCGCGTCAGATCTGCAACGACAACTCGTACGGGGTGACGGTGGACAGCAACGTCTACGAGCCGCACGTCACGGCCAGCACCATGGCGCACGTGCTCGGACACGTCATCGGCATGGCGCACGACGACCGTGAGTTACGTGACCGCCGCGCAGAGAGCACACAGCACAGCTCCGTCACAGCCGGGGGCGGAGAGCACACAGCACAGCTCCGTCACAGCCGGGGGGAGGGGGGCGGACTGCGGAGAGCACACAGCACAGCTCTGTTACATGCGCGGGGGCGTGGAGATCGGTTACGTAACGAGCTGTCGTCAGATAAATACACGGAGCTGTGGCCGCATCGCTGTCAAGCGCGTATGCGTTTCCATAACGCGACTTAGGAGGCCATGTTTGCGCCCATCGACCTCCGAAACTACTGGAGTCCCAGTTTCAAAATTCAAGTTTTAGTAGAAAAACGTATCCGAAAAACGTAACCGATAGTGACCGCTGGTAGGGCCGGAAGTGAGTAGTGACTGTAAGTGGGACCGGTAGTTTCCGACAGTGACTGTTCGTGGGGCTGGCAGTGGCTGTTAGTTTGCGGCACTGTTCTTCGACAGGCCGTCGCTGAGCTGCGCCCGGGGCCGGCAGTGACGGCACAATGCAGTGGCCGGTAGTAGGTACCCTCAGCAGGCCGTCGCTGAGCTGCGCCCGGGGCCGGCAGTGACGGGCAGTTCAGTGGCGGGTAGTGGCCCACAGTGCTGCGGCCGGCAGTAGGTACCCTCAGCAGGCCGTCGCTGAGCTGCGCCCGGGGCCGGCAGTGACGGACAGTGCTGTGGCGGGTAATGGCCCACAGTGCTGCGGCCGGCAGTAGGTACCCTCAGCAGGCCCTAGGTACCCTCAGCAGACCGTCTCGCCGGCGCGGCGCCGGCAGTGGCCGACCACTGCACCAGCGGAGAGACACAACTTATTCATGGCCATCGACCCGGAGCGCGCTGTCGTTCGTACGAGTCCGACAGTGGGCCGGGCGGCCCGCGGTGGGGAGCTGGTGGGCCCCGCTGGGGAGGGGGCGCGCCGCGCTCCCAGATTGTGTCGATCGGGTCCGCCGACCCAGTGCGCCCGGCGCCGCCCCCGACCAGGTGCAGGTGGTCCCGGGCCGTGGCGGGCCGTATACCCACCTGTGCCAGACAGTGGGTCACCAGCCGACCCCGGGCCGTATACCTACTTGTGCCAGACAGTGGGTCACCAGCCGACCCCGGGCCGTATACCCACCTGTGTCAGACAGTGGGTCACCAGCCGACCCCGGGCCGTATACCTACCTGTGCCAGACAGTGGGTCACCAGCCGACCCCGGGCCGTATACCCACCTGTGCCAGACAGTGGGTCACCAGCCGACCCCGGGCCGTATACCTACCTGTGCCAGACAGTGGGTCACCAGCCGACCCCGGGCCGTATACCTACCTGTGCCAGACAGTGGGTCACCAGCCGTCCCCGGGCCGTATACCTACCTGTGTCAGGCAGTGGGTCACCAGCCGACCCCGGGCCGTATACCCACCTGTGTCAGACAGTGGGTCACCAGCCGACCCCAGTCCGTGGCGGGCCGTATACCTACCTGTGCCAGACAGTGGGTCACCAGCCGCCTTATCGGCACAGACTCGGGGTCCTTCGCTGGTGACCTCCTCATACCAAAGAGCGATGGGTCCTGCAGTGAATAAAATTGTTCATAAAGCTCCTATATTTACTTTTGTGACATCATATGTTCACATTTTGCGCACTCACCATCGTACTCTGACTCAGCCGTTTTCACTACGAGCTTTCTGACAAATGCACCAAGTTTGATCAAATCTGCATTCAATTTCTTTTGCACTAAATATCTTAGTATCATCAATTTATTTTAGTGTTTAAATGGAAAATGATGTCAGATAATTTGACAAATGGGGTATACAGGCATCTGTGCAGTGTGCAGTCCAAGAAACACTCTCAACCTTATTTGACCAAATGTGCACCAAATTTGCAGCTAATCTGCACCAAATGCGTAAACGGTAAATACCAGATGGCCGTCTTGAAAATGGCTATTGTTAGCCTTCCAGGCGGTGGGGGGGGCATTTTTTTGCCCCCCCCCCCTTTAGTTTTTTCGATATATCTCGTGAACCGCTGCGCCGATCGTCACCAAACTTTCCGTACCCTCCCGTGAATAGCTAGTGCACATTGTGACCAAAAATTTTTCCAAAGGCTATGATAGGTTGGACGCTAATGACGTCAGAGTGACGTCATTTCTGCCATTTTCGACCCAAAAAAGGTTTCGCGAGAAGAGCTGTCAGGCCTACAGCTTTATAGATACAGAAAAATGTTTTTGACATCAGAGGTGTAGAATTAAAAGGTCTACAAAACTGTTATCTCGGATTTTCGAAATTTTTGGATTTTGACCCCCAAAAATTGAATCATAGATTTTTTAATATAATAGCCAAAAAATCCGAAAAGTTTTTTGAATTTCGAAAAAACCGGAATACATGTGATAGTCCCTACCGCCTTCTATCTACATACCAAATTTGAGATCGATACCTTTTTTTGGCCAAGTTATAGCAAAAAAAAACTGTTCAAAATTGATGACGTCAAATTTTCAAAACTCAATTTTTAGCAATTCTAGACCTTGTCGCGCAAAACAAAGACCACCATTAGACTCCCCGTGACGAGCTGCATCGAATCAATACCCATTTTATGCAAATATTTCAACTTCGAAATTTGACCTTTTCTGACCTGACCTTAACCTGACCTCCACCAGAAAGTGGCCTAAACCGTACCTGATAGTCTTATAACCAACACCATTGAGTTGGAAATGAAAAACTGGCCATAAAACATGCACCGCACAACCTTAGTAAAGTTGGGTTCATGTGGTGACCCTTGGTGACCTTTGGTGACCTGACCAGTGACCTGACCTGGTATGACCAGTGACCTCTAATAGCAACATATGTAGGTACTAGACAGCTGACGCCCTATCGCTGATTTTCGACAAAATGCGTTTTACTCGGTGTTATGGCGCTTTCCCTAGAAGCCCCGTGAACGGTGAAACATTTTATCTTTGACCTGACTTGTGACGTCATCGGTGACCCCGAGGTCAATGAAATTTGGTTTCCTTCAACAAATTTGACAGGGCTATCGAACGCCGTTTGAATTTTCCGGATCCGTCCAGTAGTTTCGGAGATACGGGGGGGGGGCAAAAAAATGCCTCCCCCCCCCCACCGCGCGGAAGGTGGCCGGGAGGCCCACCGCCTGCCGGGTTAAGAAAAGACTTTTGGCATGTGACTTCTGCAGTGAGTTATCACCATATAGTAAATAAACGATTAAGGAAATAAGTACACACCATTCATTTTGAATGTAAAGACAATTGAATCCGGCTCAAGATATTTCAAAACATTACACTTGAAAGGCATGAGTTGGCCGACACGCGACAAATACCAGGATTGCATGTAAGTTGAGGCTCCGTTTGCAACTGCTGTAGATGATGAGTGACAGTCATTGCATGCCACGACGGCTGGGTATTTCTGACATGTGACAGCTGCACTGGGGAAGGGCACACTGGAAACACGCGACGGCGGGCTGCTGCCCCGTGTATGTACTGATATAGCAGGCTAACAGTTGCAGATTGCGACAGGCTTTCAATGATATCTGTGACAATGTGACGGATGTGATAGATGTTACATTGGACATAGGTTATCGGCTGACTGTAACAGTTTTGAAGAGCCGACAGCCATACTTGGCGTTTCAGTTCCTCGAGTTCTTTTAACAGCATTTGGACAAAGTTCCCAGTGACGACACTGTCTTCTTTTACGTCCTTTTACTCGTCAATCACTGCTGAATTAGTGTGTCTCGGCTGTGGGCAGAGACATGTTTTGCCGCTGTGTCCTGGTGGCGCTGTGACTCGGAGCAGGTGTGTGACTGTCGTGCCGTTACGAGTCGCCCCGTGACGCTGTGCCCCGGCGGTGCCGCAGGCGAGGGCTGCACGTGCTCCGACTGGCACGGCTGCATCATGTCGGCCAACATCGTCGGCAAGGACAGCGTGCAGCCGTACAAGTTTTCGCAGTGCTCGCGGCTCGACTACCACAAGGAGCTGGAGCGCTCGCACGGCCTGTGCCTCTTCAACCGACCCAACGAGGTCTCCGTCAGAGCACGACACCCGGGGACGCACTGTAGGCCCGGCCCGGCCCGGCGCTGGCCCGCGGCCGCCGCATGCCGTACCGTAACGCATGGCTGCAGCGCATGGCTGCCGCATGGCGCAGCGCAGCTAGAGTCGTGGCACGTCAGTTCATTGCCTCGCAGGTGTTTGTCGTTTTTTTTTTACCGGGATGTGGTAAGCGAGTAGGTGCTGTTTGTCAGCATAAAGCAAACGTGTCATGATTTAAATGGGTAAGTTCGCTACACATAGGCACGTTGGTTGGAAATATTTGACATTTGCATCCAGATAAAAGAGGTACATGAAGTTACATGTAGATACGGTCTCATTTATCGTTTTCAGTGCATTTATCTTCTTTTGTTCCTTGACCATGTAGCTATTTTCCTGTCCCAGCAAGCTGCGTCGTTCGAATCGATAATCCATTGCATGGTACATGGCCCTTGTATATGATGGTTTCGCATGCATGCATTATATACTTCACATTCTAAGTGAGCGTTTTTATTGTCAGTTGCTTGACATGCATCTAACCTCGCATTTACATAAACTATATACCGATTAGGTATAACGTTTAATAATCTATTGAGTGTTCGCAACTACAACAAAGCATAGGTGCGACCAGCACAATATGTTTTTTTTTAACTTGTCATTTTACTCTAACATCCACATATTTGTCAAGAATAAATTGTGTCCATAAGAACGCAGCTTGAGCTAATTTGCTGGATCTACCAAGTTAGACTACCACTCGAATACCATTTATTCGTCCTGGCAAGCGGACCCCTCTTGGCCGATGGCGGATGGGCCCCTGCTGCCCTCCCTGGCCCTCCCGCCAAGACCCCTTCCGCCGGGTAGACCCTCCCGCCAGGGCCCCTCCCGCCCGACTGACCCCCCTCTCGGCTGACCCTCCGGCCATAACGACGTCCGTCGAGCTCCGGGCACACTGCGGCCGGCCGGCCGTCGGCGATAGCCCGGCGAATAGCGCCATGGAAAATGGAACACCACTGTCTTCGCCAATCCCAGAAAATGAGATCTGTCCCGAAAGTTCACTTTGATATTCAAATTCATCCGACTAGATAGAGCCGCCCATACGCACTTGAGCCGACTGACGAGATTTATTTGCGTTGTTCATACATACATACATACTGAAACTTATTGCAATGGGAAGCCGGCTGCATAGGAAGCACTCCTTGGAAAGAAATCATCGAAACATTTTGCTTGATTTGCAGTACCTAATTCATGTTGGTTGGGGACAGCACTAAAATCAACCAAGCATTACTGCGCCCAGCACTGTGCCTTGCTAAATGCCCTCTAAGAAACAGACTGGCATGTCATAGAGTAAAGTCAGCGTTCCATTAAGCAAATAAGGGCAGATTTGTAAAAGCCGCACCGTCTGATGTACTTACGGTTCTTATTTTACTTGCGCTCCACCTCCCACCTGTACGGTATGCCCGTTTCTTGAAGATGTGCAGCTTTGGTACCGCGATCTTTGCGACATCTTCCACTGAAGATCCACAGCGAGTGTATCACGACTGTTTACACGACCGTGTGTAACGCGATTATTCCATATTCATCCTAAATATTCGCAACCTTTCAACTTCTATCACAGTTGACCATGGCCTAGTCGATATCCATGCGAACGGCGCTGGCAAAGTCGATAGAGGAAACCGCTGCGCTAACAATTCAAGTGCTGCAATTTTTTAAGTAAATGTTCGTTTAGTTTCAATGCGACAATGGACTGATCGTGTATATTTGATGGCGCTAACCGAGGGCCCGTTTTCAGCTGAAGATCCGGAACTGCGGTAACGGTATCGTGGAGGACGGCGAGGACTGCGACTGTGGCACCGTGGACAGTGCCGAGTGCGCCCGACTGGACCCGTGCTGCGATCACATCACCTGTAAGCTGCGCGACCAGGCCGAGTGCTCGTCGGGGCCGTGCTGCGACAACTGCAAGGTACGCCGCCAGCGCCGCCCCACCGCGCCCCACCGTACGGCGCCCCGCTGCGCGGCTGCGGCGGCTGCCGCCCCACCGCGCCCCACCGTACGGCGCCCCGCTGCGCGGCTGCGCCGGCGCCGCCCCACCGCGCCCCACCGTACGGCGCCCCGCTGCGCGGCTGCGGCTCTTCCATTGAGTTTCAGTCAGGGAAGGACTCTGAGATAAACGTTTACCTTAGATCGGAGGCTTAATCTTAATTATTTTAGTGGTCCTTCATTGAAAATTGCTATGGTCATTTCTCTGTGAAAAAAACAATATTTTTGTGTCAAATGGAATGATAGCATGAAAGTAATTTCAATATAAATGTTGAATAAAATTCCGGTATTTGCCTACCAACTTCTTAATTGCTTTGACTTTAAAATATTTTATTTCCAATGCGGGAACGTTTATTTTTTTGAAAAGTAACCACACGACGCATTTTTTATTGCATCTGAGCATCTCAGCTAGAAAGATTAGGCGTGTCGTGCCTATAAGGATAACTGTATTACATTCAGAGACAGAGACCTGAATAGTCTTAGGAGTCTGAAGGAGTGACTTTATTTGCTGAGTTGGCCGTTACGCTATTGAAGGATATCGGTGCTCTGCTCCTTTACGTTGTATGTGAACGTGACTAAGTGTTTCCCTTCATTTATTTAAAAACTTGATGAATATAAACATGAAGTAAATGTCAGGCAAGATAAACCCCAAGAAAATGGCGTCTCCTCAATTTGTTTTCTCATCTCTGATGAAGAATAATCGTATTTGAGCAGGCTAAAACGGCCGATAGATCACGGCGTGCCGCTCAAAGAGACATAGTCGTTTACATAAATCACAGAAACGTTTTATCCATTTCCTAATCTTGTTTCGCTGAGAAATACGTTCAAGTGAAATGGATCACCGTTCGAAATTCAGTTTATCAAGACATATCATAATATATGCGGTGAATGCAGCCCTTATATAGGCGCAGATTGACTGATTTAATCATGCGCTATTTTGGCTGGAGATTAGTTGATAAACTCAATTATCATTCATATTTAGAAGGTGTGGGATCAAAATCCGTCACGAAACCATGCCTGGAAGCCGTTGTCTTATCCTGGGTGGGACTGGCTGTCCGCTGTTCCGCCCTGTCTGCTGTCCGCTGTCCCGCCCTGTCCACTGTCCGAGGTCGCTAGCTACTGTCCGCTGTCTGAGACCGCTGTCCCGGTCCGCTGTCCGAGAACACTTCCCGGAGAATGTTGTCTGCTGTCCGCTGACCGTTGTCCGCAGTCCATTGTTCTGCTGTCCGCTGTCCGCTGGCCACTGACCGGTGTCCGCAGTCCGCCGTACTGATGCTGCTGTCCGCTGTCTTGGTCTGCTATCCCGGTCCGCTGTGTACTGCCCGCTGCCCGCTGCCCGCCGTCCGCTGCCCGCTCGCTGTACGGGTGCTGCTGCCCGCTGTACGGGTGCCGCTGTCCGCTGTACGGATGCTGCTGACTGCTGTATGTACTGGTGCTGCTGTCCGCTGTCCGCTGTACGGGTACCGCTGTCCGCTGTCCCGGTCCGCTGTTCTGGTCCGCTGTCCGCTGACCGCCCGCTGTACCGGTGCCGCTGTCTGCTGTATGCTGCCCGCTGCCCGCCGTCCGCTGTCCGCTGTCCGCTGCCCGCCCGCTGTACGGGTGCCGCTGTCCGCTGTCCGTTGTACGGGTGCCGCTGTCCGCTGTCCGCGGTCCGCTGTCCGCTGTCCAAAGACCGCTGTCCGCTGACCGCTGTCCGCCCGCTGTACGGGTGTCGCTGACCGCTGTCCTACTCCTGTCCGCATTCCGCTGTACTGGTGCTGCTGTCCGCTGACCGCCCGCTGTACGGGTGCTGCTGTCCGCTGTATGCTGTCGGGCCGAGAGTGGTCGACTGGCAGCCCATCCCGTCGCGGCTGGCCGCCCAGCCAAGGCCGTCCGAGCGGCCTCCAATTGTCGGTACGGCTCCCCGGCGGCCCGTATCGGACCGACGAACCGGCCCGGCCGGCCGACGGACCACGGACGGCCGGGTGGGCCGACGGACAGGACCGAAGGACGGGGCGGGCGGGAAGAACAGTACCGTGAGCGAGCCCACTGCCGTAGTCTGACGATGCCGTGGACGGGGCCCGCTTCATTGAGTGGGAAGGCTATGCTAGATGTACTCGTAAATGTGACTATATAGAGCCTGACAGCCACGGCAGTCATTTATAAATGAACTGTTTCCATGTATGTGAATGAGCTTCGCCGTTCTGCAAAAGAATCCGTGTCGCCCAAAACACAGGCTCCATTTTCATCAGCTGGGCTCGGCGCGTGCGTAGCCCCCCCCCCCCCCCGCCATCGAAGCTGCCCAAGCCGCCTGTAAAAGTGGCTGACCCACGAAACACTGGTCGTTGCAGAGCCTAATCAGTCCGGTCCGACAACCCACATGTGAGGGGTCTGCGTGTGTCGCAGTCCTCAGTTCGGTCCGACAGCCCGGGGACGCTGCCGCAGTCTCAGCCGGTCGCAGCGGGGCCGCCCACCCCTCCCCCTGCCCGACGGCCAATCCGCGGATCAAAGGAGGCCGCCGCAGACGTGACTGCACTGGGAAAAACATCCCCCCCCCCCTGCGGTACGGGGCTGGCGCGCACGCTACCGAGTCCGGCTGGCGGCCACTGAGGGTGGTCAGTTCCAGTCAGTTCCAAGAAACGAGCCCTGAACGTACAAATTTATCATGCAGAGTAGCATAGTAGTGTACCTACCCACCTACCTATTGAAATACCGTATGTATTAAGGTATTAATATGAAAAAGACACCCGTTAAACACATTTGTCCTTAAAAGTAACCATTTTTTGACACTGTGCATCTGAAGTACAATGTGCAATGCACTACGCCAATTAGCCTCTTGTATGAAATGTTATGCAACATCGAGCTACATATACGCTGAATTTACATAGCACATTGCTTGTCTCGTCAGAAGTGAAATGTGAAGTCGTATATAGGCTTTAGTATCTGTTTGGTCATTGGCGGAGACAATCTGACTACGAGGCTGCATTCCATAATAAGTCTGGTGGGTAATAAAGCGGTCTGCTCCGTTGCGCGGCGCTGCAGTGTTTTAGTGCAGCGTGTGTAGGGGTTCGAGGTCCATGCAGCTCGAGTTAGTACCCGTATATCTGGTGGTGTGCTTCTGTTGACGTCCCGCTGGGTATAACACGTGACACCGTGCCGTTATGGCCATTTTGGCACCCTACCACATACGGTAGGTATAGTAGTCACGAACGCCCAGACAAAACTCCCTTTCAGGGCTTATCAATGCTCTTCCATAGCTTGATATCGATATATAGATATGCAACCATTTTTATATAATGGTGTATATTTTTCAATCGACGATTCACACAAGAAACCATGTCACCAATCACCAGTTAATGTTCATTTGGGTTGATCTAGCATTCACCATCCATTGCAAAATTACGTGCTTTTTTGCCATTATGAATACCATCAGCGGCATAAAAGGTGCCTATTTACATGTTCTTCATCACAGCTAGAATTCGAAAACAGCTCAATGAAAACTTGGGATTTTTTAAGGCAATACTTTAATCGCGCTCACTGTCACTTAACCGGGGCCGGCTGAAGCCCAAAACAATAAAACTTCCTCCGGTCTGTTGGAGTTCTCCCCGAGACAATGCCGAGCCGAATCCTGGCACTCTGCCAGATCCCCCACCTCCTCCCCTCTGCCCGGTGGGGCTGTCTGTCTCCCGGCCGAGCCAATTCACACACAACTTCCGGCCGGCCGGCGCGGAGAGGCGCGCGGACCGGTACCGGAGAGCACCAGTACCTACCACCAGAGCTGCCCAGTATCCTGCCGCGCGGTAGGGACTGGGCCGCGGTACATACCACGGGACCCCCTGGCTGCAAAAGGTGCTGGAACCCACTGACACCTACCTTCTCGAGACTGCCACGCTGCATGGTGTCAGCGCGCTCTCTATCGGTCTCGGGGCTGGCTGCTGGTGTCGGTGTGCGTTTTCTGTCGGTCTCGGGGCTGGCTACTGGTGTCAGTGTGAGCGTTTTGTCGGTCTCGGGGCTGGCTGCTGGTGTCAGTGTGAGCGTTTTGTCGGTCTCTGGGCTGGCCGCTGGTGTTGTGCGCGTTTTGTGTCAGTCTCGGGGCTGGCCGCTGCGTTGCTATATATATGGCGATTTTCTATCGGTTTTGGCGGCCGTGTTGCGCCGCTGCTCCTGTCCGAAGTCGGCCATCCCGGCCGTATCGACCGCGGCTGCAGTGTTTTTGCGGCGGGCCGCAAATCGCCGCGTCCGTGTCAGCCCGACGCGGCCCGCTCGGCGCCCGCACGCACCGTGACGGCCGCTCCGGCGCCGGCGGCAGCCGCCCTTTGACCGAGCTGGGGCCGCCGCCGCCGCCACGCCGACCTTTGTGTCCTGTTTACGGAAGCAGCTGGCTGTGGGACTCTGCAGCTGT